GAGCTTGGAATGGAGTTGTATTGCCTGTTTAGCTTAGAATTGCGTTTGTACTTCTAATTGCACTCCTAACATTTTTGGGGGTTTTTATATTTAAAACTACTATTGTGATCTAAGGATTAAAGCTAAATTATGCTAAGGAAATATTGCTAAGTTGTGCTTAATATAGGAAAAAGGCACTAGGGTCGTGACACTACCTAGGTGGCTAGCTAACGGGTAGAAGCTACTAGGGGAGATTGATAAATCTGGGTTTATTGCTATAGCCGTTACACAATTGCACTCATTCTCACACCTCTCGGTAGAGAGAACGATTTTGCCCAATTGACTCTCTCGAGACCAATTAGGTAGGCCAATTAGACCAGGCAACTAGGGCTCAAATAGGGTAGTTACTCTTTCGAGGTTTAACCCGTTAATTGGGACTACCATTCTCATGGGTCCATCCCAATTCCTTGTTGGGTTAACTTTTAGGGTCATATGACTCTCTTTATCAAGAAGAGTTAGACCCACTAAGCTTGAATTCATGTTTGCAACCACAATTCTAGATTGAAACACAAAATCAACCCAAATAACAGATACCCAATCTCAATCTCACCCTCGAATGCAACACCCATTAACTACCCACACTAGGGTTGAGCCACAACCCTAGCTAGACATAATTAAAGAAGAAACAGTAGAAGTAGATGATGAAAATAACATAATGATTGATTACTAATTAAAAATTATGATATTGAAGAGGAAAATTGCAAAAATAGGCTACACAATACTTCTCACGAGCGCAGCTCCTGTTCAGAATCTAAAACTTGACCTAAAAATGGTAAAAAGATCTATTTATACCGAGCTGAAAAACTGGACAAAAATATCCCTGCAAGGTCAGCACGGACCGCGCAAAAAGGTAGCACGGCCGCGTAGGCTCTTTGAACTCTCAAATCTCATCTCTGAAGTTGGGGGCCGCGGACCGCACAGAAACGTAGCGCGGCCGCGGCGGAGGGTTGGCGCGGATTGCACAGAAATGGGGAGCGGCCACATAGCTTGACTTGGCCAAATCTCCATGTCTCTGAATCTCTTTCACGCGGACCGCACTGATATGTAGCGCGGCCGTGTGAGACTTAAGCCTGCACTGGTGGTTCTCTGAACTTCCCTTGCGCGGACCGCGCAGAAATGGAGCGCGGCCGCATGGCTTGCACCTCAATTTACCCCTCTCTGAATCTCCTAGCGCGGCCGCATGACATATCAGTGCGGTCCGCGCTAGGTCTTCCTGTTCCCCACTTCACTTGTTCTTGACACTTGGCAGGTTTCACTCCGTTTTGAGCCGATCTTTGACATTTGTCATCTTGTCGCTCAAACCTGCAATCAAGCGCAACTTGTAAGCATTCTGGGACTATTTTGTGGCAATTTGTAACAAAAGCAATAGCAAGTAAGGGGTATAATCATGGTAAAATCCTAACTTATCATAACCCCAGCTTGAAGGAATAGGAGTTGAGTCTTGTTTGCTCTTTGCTAATTGATCGAGTACGATGTATAGGCATGGTGACGAGTATCTATACATTGGTGTCTAGCATGACCGTGAGTCCTTAAAGGGTGATTATCGTAATTTGTTATGAATTCCATGTTGATTGAGGTTTTCTATATATTGTAAAGAACATGTGAAAAACATTATAACCATATGATTTTCGTGGTGTTTTGGCTTGGTTGTGACACGAATTGAAAAGGTATCTGAGATTATAAAATTCTTGGGAGCATTGGCTCAAGTGATAAAGTGAGATGTGAAGTAAGAAATGAAAGAAAGCTAATGAGTTATTGGTTATTCCCTTACCGGGATGTTTTGCTGTTTGGTAGACTTTTTCTCCCTTGCCGGGATATTGAAATTGTTGTTATTGTTCCCTTGCCGGGATTCCTATTTTGTTTGTCTATTCCCTCTCCCCATTGTTTGTGATTGTTGTTTGGGTGAGGACGAGTGATAAAGCACGAAGGGTGATGCCGTGCACGATTGTGATATGAATACTAATGCACGAAGGAACATTCCATGCTATGTTATGAATACTAATGCACGAAGGAACAGTCTGTGCCATGATATGATTACTAATGCACTAAGGAATATTCCGTGCCATGATATGAGTGTTTATGCACGAAGGATCATTCCGTGCCATCATTTTAAGAGGTAAAGCACGAAGGGTGATGCCGTGCACTTTATATGATTGTTTGGGTGAGAATGAGATTAAAAGCACGAAGGATGGTGCCGTGCAACTGTTGATTTCCTACTCTCGTTGATATTGTAGTTGTACTGTTTCATTCCTTAATTATTGATTTTATACCTGAATTGTTACAGCCCCTACAGCATGCTCCCCCTCCCCCCTTGACTGGTTAATTTCCGTATACCTTTATATTGCATACATATATATATTGAACTGCACAGGTTTGTTTGGTAGTCCGGTCTAGCCTCGTCACTACTTCGCCGGGGTTAGGCCAGACACTTACCAGCACATGGGGTCGGTTGTGCTGATGCTACACTCTGTGCATCTTTTTGCACAGATCACGGTGTCGGAGCAGCTTTTGGACAGCAGCAGTAGATTGGGAGTAGACCTTCAGTCCAGAGACACCGAGGTAGCCTTGCTGACGTCCGCAGGCCCGGAGTTTCTTCTATCTTTACTTTAGTTTGTTATCCTTTGTACCGGAACAAACAAAACTATGTTTTTATTCAGACATTGTATTTAGCATTCTCTAGTCGTTCGTGAGTTTGTGACTCCAGTTCTTGGGTAGAGTTGTATTGAACTTCCGCATTGCTTTCAGTTTATTTATATTTAAGACTTCCGCTTTTCTATTTAATGTTCCGTTGTTTTTTTTAAATGTCGAGGTTTGCTAAAAGAGGTAATAAATAATTGGCTTGCCTAGCTCCTAATAGTAGGCGCCATCACGACTCCCGAGGGTGGGAAATCCGGATCGTGACAAGTTGGTATCAGAGCACTAGGTTACATAGGTCTCACAACTCACGGACAAACTCGGTAGTGTCTGAGGGATCGGTACGGAGACGTCTGTATTTATCCCCCAGAGGCTACAAAGTTAGGAAAATCTCACTTTTGTTCTTTCTTGTCGTGCGATTCTATTTCGCAAATACTGATTGTCTCTTTACTCTGTTCTTTCGCAGATGGCGAGAACACGTGCTTCCTCTTCTACCGCGCAGCAGCCCGAGCCCCCAGCAGCAGCTCCTACGAGGGGCAGAGGGCGAGGCCGAGGCCGTGCCAGAGGCCGAGGCAGGGGCAGATTCCATTATGACTTATTTTTATTTGATTGCAAATCTACAAATTGTCAAAAATAGTAGGCGTCAGACAAAAGCAATTTGCAATTGCAAATTTCAATAACCAATCGTTTTGATTGGTGGATGATTGGGCGTTTAACACTATATAAAGGAAAGCTTTGGATCTCATTTCTATACACCAATCTTAGAGAGAAATATATTTGAGAGCATAGAGTGCAGTGTAAGGTATTCATAAGCGGTGTAGTCTGTAAGGAAAAATAGAGAGTGTGAGCGATATTGTAGTGAGGTGGGAATCTCAAAAGAGGGTTATTTGTTTTTAGTGTATAGTGGTTCCTGGAATATTTACTCGGGACTATGGAGTGTAAAATTACTCATTATAGTGGATTACTTTGCTTCTCTCTGGCTCGTGGTTTTTCCCTTATTCAGAAGGGTTTTTTACTTTAAAATCTTTGTGTCCTTGTTGTTCTTTATATTATCGCTGATTACCGTATCTCAACACTACATTATTATTTCGCTGTTATTACCGTGAATATTATTTTTATGGTGGATTTATTCCCCACATAAAGTACTGCAATTGATACTGGCTCAAACCATCAAAGTAATATCAAATAACAAGAATCGATCATCAAACCTCAAGAACTTTCAACTTAAAACTAATTTTCATAATTTTTTACATAACGCACCGAAATGCGCTCGGATCATCCTGGACCCCAACCAAAAGTGTGTACAAGTCCAAAAATATCATACGAACCTACCGGAATCGTCAAAATAACGATCCGAGGTCGTTTACCAAGAATGTTGACCGTGGACAACCCAAGTCTCATTTTAGGCAAAAAATCACATTTTTTTTCAAAATTTTACGTAAAAGCTTTTCGTAAAACAACACAGACTACGCACGCAAATCGATAATCGTCAAAAGAAGCTATAAGAGGTCTTGAAACACTAAAATTAATGCTAGTACTCAAAATAACCTATCGGGCGTCACATAAAAAGATCCAACTTCTATCTTATAGATGAATGAACATCAAACTTGTAGTCTACAAGTTGTTAATTTCCTCTTTTTCCTTTTATCCTTTTCCTATATGCGGCTAGCATAGATACCGTGAATATGATTGTCCATGGTACTAATTTTGGGACCATAAACTTTTGTACAACTTGGAGTTACAGTAGTATGATCTTTCTCATTAATTTGTCTTCTACACTTTGCAAGGAGTGGTTCAAAGTTGTTGAACCATGACCAATTAAATAAAATACAATAATCACCTACCTCGTGTTTAAAGTACTGCAATGGATACTGGCATAGTCTATGTATATAATATCCTGGGTAAATTTTTTGTTAGGAAAAAAAAAAGTACATTAAAGTCGTATTAGTCTAGATCCAAGACGAATATTGTTTTTACTAGTAAAATGGATCGTAACAATGTATATTACCTACTGATTCAAATCAAGTAAAGATTTCCAATTATCACATATTAATTACGAAATGTCTTACTTCTACTAACAACATCGCTGACAATCTTTGGACTTACGAATATACTTCTCCAAGGAAAAGAAAAAAAGGAATTCTGCGTTCCCTTGAGTTATTCTTTAAAAAATTATAACTCTCAATCAAGTCGGCCAAGTGAATCATGCTAAGAAGCAAGGACATAATTGATAGATTACCTCCCACAAAAAACAAATTAGTACAAGGTTAATTTGGTCTTTTCAACCAAACTCAAAACTTTAAAATTATCACAATATTGTTCATCTCCCATGAGACGCAAGATTGTTCCTATATAAAACATGGCTCCCCATTCTTCAAACCATAATAATATCAGACTCAAAACCTTCACATACCCAAACAAAACAAATAAAATAGAAAGAAGAAGAAGATAATCCTCTTTTTCTGTTTGGTGAGAGATGGGAAACAGTCTAAGGTGCTGTTTGGCTTGTGTTCTTCCTTGTGGAGCACTAGATTTGATCCGAATAGTACACTTGAATGGGCACGTAGAAGAAATTACACGGCCAATCACAGCTGCTGAGGCTCTCAAAGACTACCCAAATCATGCTTTAAGTAAACCCTGTTCCCATGGAAATAACATGGTTCGTCGGATTTTGATCTTGTCACCTGAAACAGAGCTCAAAAGGGGTAGCATTTATTTCTTGATCCCAGCCACGTCGAAGAAGAAAACTTCCATTAAAAAAAAACCCAAATGTAAAAGCAAGAAATTATGTCGTCATACCAATATATCAGCAGATCATTGTGATTCATATATTACATCGGAGAAGAAGTCGTCGTCCCGTCATGAGCGCCGGAGAAGTGGAGTCACTGTATGGACGCCTCATCTTGAGAGTATTTATGAGGATTAATTAATGTGTTTGGTATTTTAATGACTTTTTCACTTTCATATCATAGCTTTTTGACGAGGGGTAAATTCCTTTTTCTCTCATCTGTGTAGATATGCTTTCCTGTTTATGTAATTTCGCAATAGCAGATTCGGGGTTTGAGATATTTCGCCCCACGAATTTTATAAGATAGAGATGGATATTGAGTTTGATCAATGTGTAATTTAAAACAAGTAATTGATATAAGGCGGAAAAAAAAGAAATCTCTATTTTTCACCATTTGTTGTGAAGTCATGGGATGAAATTTGAAAGGATTTGTGGGAAGAAATGTTGATATGATATTTCTTCTTCCTCAAGCTCGTTGAATCCAAATTTTAGTACAGTACAGATACGAATTACTCCATAATAAAGTGGTTCTAGTGTATAACTAGCAATAAGGTGCTGAAAGCCAAGAAAAATTGGGGTCAACAGGCTCTTAACTACGGTACCATGTACTTGATTGTTTAAAAACGCCATCTTCTGCCAATTTTCATCTTAACTTTATATATCAACAATCAATTTTACATTAATGGTGATTCTTCTTTCTTGATCATCTTAGCAAAGTCAACTGATCACACGTGGTTCAATTGGTTTTTCGGCTCTTTACAAATTTGCTTTTAGTTTTATGACCTTACCTCTTTTTTTACACATGGGAAATTTACTTTTACATGTAAGAGTTCAGTTTTTTACACATAAGAGATCGAAAAAGGTCATTTTCTTAAATTCAAAATTGTAAAGGGGCATGATCTAAAAATAGTACACGTACACGTGTAGAGAGGCTATTCGAAAAATTTAATTGGGGTTGATACATATTTCCAAGAAACAACATTGTTTGAATTAAATTTTCATTATGAAATTTTAATCATGGTTAGCCCAGGGATTAGTAGTTTAGATCAGCAATGATCTGGAAATAAGGGTAGGAGTCGTGCCATGGGCACCTATAGAGTTAAAAGGAGAAATTATGGAACTATTCGATGTCCCACTTTTGTTTATTCAACATAAAGTTGGGGCCTTAGTTGTCATTTAATTAAATAGATTTCTTTTAATGATTGTCTTGATTGTTAGTACGTACTAATATTTTATGCAAGCAGTTTCCTTCTCCAATAATCAATTAATTTATCACCATGTTTAATGTTGATCAAAGTGATAACTAGCGGCGTTGGGTTGTATAGGACACGTTTTTCGTTTAGGCATGATTACAATTTGTTTACCCTCAAGATCGGATATCAATTGAATTTATAAGTGATTTTAAGAGTACGCGAATTAATTTGACACAAAGCAATATATTAGATTAGATTGAACAAACAAAGATAAAAATAAATTCAAACCACACGCATAGGATAGTTTCAGCATTGTTAAACCTTTGCCCTCGATCCTGTCTCACTGTGGCCAGCACTGATGAACAAGAAAAATAGCTAATAGCAGAGAAAATAATAAGATATTGCCTTAGAATATGTGTTACAACGTGTATTATAAAACATCAGACCCCCTTTATATAGTAGGAGAGTCTCACTCTAGGTACAATTCTTATAAAAGGTAAAAATCTTCGAATTAACTGATTGTCGGCTTCGTATCGATACGTGTCAAGATCCCCGCCGTGATATCGGCCGGTCACGGATATCACGGCCTTATGTTGGCCGCGCTTGATTATTTGAGAACGTTCTTCGAAGTTATTCAAGGCTAGAACCGATCCCCGAACCATGACCCCGATATTCTCGAGGGTGGGCGTTAAGGTCTCGGACTTGGAATCAATGAGACCTTTACCTCAGTTTTGTCCCCTTGTTATCATATCTCGAGCTTGACTTATCATGTCCGAGACCGAGGTGTATCACGAGACCGGTTTTACCCATAACAGATAGTCCCCTCGTTTTTTCGGAGAGTAAACAACGAGAACCGATGTGAGCTCCTGATTCGTATTTCGATACGTTGTGACAGAAATGAAAAAACATTCAAAACGTCTCGTCAGTCACGTCATAATGATATTAAATGCATGTCAGACGCCGGTCGGCTATCCCTGGATGCGAAATGTCGCCGAGTTCTTATAAATACCACCTCCTTTGTTCATTTTTACTTTACATCAGACATTTTACCCTCGTATCTTTAAGATTTCAATACTCTTTAGTACTTTTACCGCCGTTATTCAAGGTCCTTTGAAGAATTTTTACCCATCTTCTTCTCAAGCCAACAAGTCCAATCCTTCAACTTTCTTCCCTTCTTCATCTTTTCCAGACTTTCCTCTATTTCTACTTTCTAAAGGAATGGAGAAAACTTCAAAAATCGTTCCCTAGAAATAAGCTCCTTCTACTTCACGTCCGGCCACTGAGGTCGATGAGACCGCTCGGGCGTGGCCGTTGATGAACCAGTACCTGAGCCCCCTTGAAAATGTTCATCCCCGGGGGATGCCCGGTCAATGATGATTTCAAGGTTGAAAAGCCTTCCTCGATGCAAGGTTGGTGTGAGGAGGTCTCGATATACATATGCTCGATCACCGTAGATATCCTCCCTATGGTCCGAAAAGACTGCAACTGGGCCGATAAAAACATAGTGGTCCCCAAGCCCAAGGAGTCCATTACCACCCATGTCGAGGGATATTTGAGTGTTTACACTTATCCCTTTACATTGGGACCAGTGGACTGGGTCATCATCGACTTCTATAAGAGATACGAGGTATGCCTCGGTCAGATTCATCCTTCAATGTAAAGGATCGTGATCCTCCTTCGATTTTTTGTGAGCAAAATTGATTCCTGCCGCTTCACTGTGGATCAACTGCTTCGTTTGTACAGTCCCCGAATATTCCGAGGAGGGCTGATAAAGGTTGTGCGATGGGCCAGTAAAGCCTCATTCTCAAGTATCGATGAAGACCGGGATCGAGGCTAGCAAGGCCGTTTTATCCGAGTGAGGGCTTCGGACATGATTCCAGCTGAATGCGAGCTGTTCCCCGAGAAGTGGAATACATCAGATTAGTAGATCTTCCCTTCGAAAGTTTAATTTTATGTTTACTTTTCTTTTCCTCACTGGTACTCATGGTGGTGCAGCCGTCGCTCGGGTCCCAAATGATGTCCCTCGACTCAAGGAGTGGGTCGAGGGTATCGTTTCACAGATGCCCTATTCTGAGCGCACGTGTCGTAAACTCTTGAAAGGCCGTTGGGAGGCCCGTTTTCATGGTAAGATTCCCTTCCTGAATAGGCTGTGTTAGGCTTTTTCTTTCAACACCAAGTCCTTATTTCCATTGCTTTCTTTCACAGGTTTGCCTAAGGACGTCGAACTTAGGCCTCTAGTTGGTGGCGAGGACTTGCCTGTCGAGTCCCCTGCTCCGAGGCAGACCGGAGAGAAGAAAAGAAAGAGGACTCCAAGTTCCCCGAGCTCGGAGATAAAGAAAACGCGAATAAGGTTGGTGCGTAAGCCAAAGGAGAGCACCAGCTCCCGGTTGCCCATGAGCCGTCTGTACCCGAGGAACGGGTGGCAGCTGAGGGGAAAACAACGGAGGCCAATCTCCTTCAAGTTAGTGAGGCCGGTGCAGCAGTGAGGGTCGAAACCCTCAAGACGCTAGTTCTTTCCTTCCCGGTATCATTGACATAACGGGATCACCTTCGTTCACTGAATCGATGTTCGGTGAAGCTAAAACAATGAAGGAGCGATCGAACAAGGGGATCCATGGAGCGGACGATCCCCTCCAAAGCTTTTTGATGGCGTGGACTCCACCTCCATGGAGGAAGTCACTGGATAAGGTGACCTAGAAGTACTAAGGAAAAGTTCATCCTCGGGGGCAGGTGGGTCTAATTCGAGCCCATGACTGGTCAACCGGTTCCCTACCCCGAGTGCGAATCCTGGTCGGAAGAGGTCAATTATCATCACCATTCCAGAGGATGCCCGGGTTCTTTCTGCCCCCATTGGGGTAGTTAGTTATCTCTAGTGCCTAGTAACGGAAGAAGACCAGGAAAAAGCGAACGAGGTGGATTCCCCGTGCCTGTTCAACGAAGCACAACAGGCGCTGAACCGGGTAAGGTGTTACCATACCTTTTCATTTTTCAGCTTTAGTTATTATTGATCCTATTATTTCTTCTCATATTTGCAAGCCTCGGTGCTTCACCACGAGACCCTCTTCCGGTAACGAGATGAGCTGAGCGAACTCGAGGCCGAAGCCAAAGAGCTCGCTGAGAAGAGAGACATGTGTTGATACCCAATTTTTTCCTATAATATTTTTTTTTAAAAGTGCATATATACCTTCAAAACTATGCATTAGCATCAATCGATATTTTTCCATAATTTCTATATTTTTAAATTAATCTATTATAGTATTTTATTTATATAAATAATTACAAAATTGCATCACAAATGGCTCTATAACATTTCATTGATTTAATTTTGCTATTAATTTCAAATTGTTTCACAAATGGCCAGATTTACACCATTTGGTTACCATTGCAATAATTTTACAATCATAGCCCATGCATACATCACTGCATTATTTTACCAAAAATTGGTCCATTATATTTTAAAATGTTGAATAATTATTTTAAAGCACTTCTGTGCATGAAAATTATTTTTCTTATTGATAATTATTTTATAAAATATTTTTATCATTTATTTGGGTATTTAACAAATAGCCTTTTTAATTTCTCCGATTTTTGGACCTAACCCTTTAATACCAGCCCAAACCCCTTAATAATACCAGCCCAATTCACCCTAAGCCCAATCTGCATCAACCCGACCCAAACCCCCATCAAATCGTGGCCGTTGATCCTTTAGATCAACGGTCCATATTAAAACTTACCTAATTAACCTAGAACGACTCCCCAAACCTCTCATTCACTCCCTCACACGCCGTCCTCATCTCCCTAACCTCTCCCATTTTCTCACGATCTATCCCTAACCCTAACGTCGTCCCCGACGAAGAGCTCCTATCTATGGAGATTCTGAGTATTCTCTGACCATTACCAACTGTGTATGCTCCCTGGTTGCTTGATTTCATGGATCCTTAGAAGAATCTGATAGAGATTCGACCTAGTTCTTGCCTGAAACTTGTTTAATGGCCTGTCTAGGGCCGTTCTCGCTTGTGAGTAAAAATTTCCTCCTGCTTTAGTTTAAATCTATGGGTTTTGATCGAGTTTCTTTATCTCTACTGTTTTGAAACCCCTAGTTTTGCAACTACTCGAATCCGTTCTGATCTTTGTAGATCTGAAATGGTTTGAGTATTTTCTGGTGTTTTCCTTTGAAAATCCTTTGTTTAGTTAACTGCTTCGATTT